AGTTTTCTTAGTTTTGATCTGGGTCTAAAACTGTTAGGGTATTGTTTTAAAGACTTAAAATCTGTAAGGCGTAGAATTATGATTCGATATCTGTTTTGTACCTTTTGTGTTTTTATAATAATTCAGCTTTTTTTAGACAAACAAAGCAGTCGGTAGCGATGAGGCATTTTTAATTTTTATGCTGAACAATATGATAGAGTCCAAAGTTGTTCCAGGTGCGAGATGATATTCAGGAAAAGTGGATGACGAATGTTGTGCCCGTCATAGCTGCAACAATCTCTTTCGGAATGGGAATTGATAAAGCTGATGTTAGGTTGTTGATTTTCTCTCTGATCTCATGAAAAACAATTTGACCGCTAATACTACAGCTAGTTTTAGATCAAATAGACATTTGCATGCTCTTTTCAATACCTGGTTAAGCAAGCTTTTTTAATCAGCTTGCTAGTAATCAGGCATTCTTTGCTATGGAGAAAAAAAAAACCTGATATTTTACGCTTTGCCTGCCACTTGTGCATTAAACTTGACAATATTGTTAATACTTATATTAGCCACATTTCATGGACTGATGCGCGACTTTCGCAGCTGGCGACTTTTCTAGTTGCTATGACCAACGCCAGTTGATGTCGTGAGCGAAGCCCTTTTTCCAAAAACCCCTTCGGCCCGGGAGGGGATCGAACCACTGCTGTTCACGCCCGGACGCAATGTGTTACCACTATACTACCAGTCTTTGTGCTCTAGGTTCAGCTTGGCAGCACATTCACGGTGTATCTCTCTTTCGAAGCACGATAGGCCTCTCTTTTTCTTTGTGGCAACTTCTTGGCCGGCTTTTCGCGGATTTTCCGCTACAGTTGGTCACTCCGCTGCGATCGTGACGTGTATTTCTTTTGACAAAGGGAATACTTCTTTTGACAAAAGCACTTGGCATGACCTGAATCATTTGAAGTCTTTGATTTTTTTTTAACCTTCACGATCTTCTGCAGGGAATTATAACTGCTAGGTCACGCTAAATGCCTCAAATCACTCCGTTAATTTTGTATAAGATGATTTTTTTAGACTAGTTGTTCATTGGACGTGCTCGCAAAATTTGGCCGCCTATTATCAGGAATCGGGACGTGCTGGACGTGATGGCAAGCGAAGTTACTGCCGCATTTATTACAATCGAGATGACCGGCAGCTACTTAGTTATCTTGTCAACCAGGATATTTTTAAAATAAAAGTAACATTTTAAAATAGCTGAAAGTCCGCTGAGATTTTAAATGTAAAAAATCAAAACCCTCCTGCGTCATATATGCATCAACGATTTTGAGTGCAGTACCCAAAATTATGGTATTTCGATTTTTGCAGGCTAAAAATCGAGAAAAAAAGACGACTGATGAGCAAGTGAAAGCCGTCCAGCATGGTTTCGAAAAAATGATCGAATTTTGCGAAAAAGCCCAGTGCGTCCTACTTTTTTTTGTAAATTAAGTACGAAACTTGCGATAGATGAATGCCATTTATCCTGTTTTCGTGTTATAGGGTTTAGTTTTACTGACTGATTAAACTTCCGTTACTTGTTCCAAGCCTTCAAAGAAGTGTTCTGTAGTATGAATTTGCTGTTACTCACTTGTTAGGCAATGTCTGAATTGATTAGAAATTGAATTTGAAGAAATTCTAAGATTTTTGATAGAGTACTTTTCTTCTTTCTACTTTGCTGTTATGAATTTTTTACTGCTTTTTGCAAAAAAGGGTTATGCTGAGAAATTTCATAGATGTGGCCCTCCGCAGATTGTTCGGTTTGGCATAAAAACAAATCATGAAAATAGTACCACTATCTTTGAAATTTAATAATTTTGATGCATTCTTCAACTCCATGATTTTTAGATACGCTATCCAATAATGTGTTTCAGATGTCGACACGTAGCTTTTGGTCGTTTCTTTGGTGATGATGATTTGAGGCCATGTGGAAATAGTTGCGATTACTGCAAAAATCCAAAGGTTTTTGAATATGTCTCGTTTTTTTCCTTTTCTCATGCCTTGTAACTTATTTGTATATTTTATTGATTCTGTATAACAGGCTTGCGAGCAGTCAATATCACGTTTTAATGCGGAAGCTTGGCGAGATGTGGGCTCATCACGATTTCGAAAACGCCGCCTGGATGACGATGGCGATGGATTCCTGTACGAAGGTGGTCGAGCAGGAGCAAAGTATGTTTTCGCATATGCGCAGAATGTGAAGAAATGTGTGCGGTTCAGTATCTTCGGCGATAGTTTGCTCATGGGCGGATCCAGGGCGGTCTTCTGGGGGGTAGGGCGATTTTTCATCTTCCTTTCTCCCTTCGTCACTGTAACCCTCCTCCCCCCATCCCCCTTCGCCAGTGGGCATTAAACAGGTACTGACAAGGCTTCTGGGCGGGGAGAGGGGGGGGG